TTATAGAAGGAGTCTTTGATAATTTTTTCAATTAGTTAGAACGATATCGCGGATCAAAGTGCATTTGTACAGAATTATTTCGTTCGCACGTGTCGCGACTCGAATCTCGAGCAGACTTCTAAAAACTGGGACACCATTGTATCATCCGAGCTCCTGTTGCACTTGTAGCTACTTAACCGCGGCGTGTTCAGACAATCCAGGCGAACTGTCTCGTGTTCCCACGAGCCCTCTCCTCAAGATCCTCTCGAAACTACTCGTGCCAGCCTCGATTAGCCTCTATCCACGCGAACCATCATCCTCCCAACCATCGTCCAAAATAACGATCTTTCCCATCGTCGTCTCTGAAACGAAATTCCCTCGTACATCCAGCCGAATCAGTAATCATAACGCTCTGCATTTCCTTTCGAAATCTCTAAAAGCCTTGCTCGTGTCATTGTAGCACGATAATTAAGCATGCTCCAAAAGCATTCGTAAATCTGACGACAAACCAAAGTTCTATCGCATTCACATCTATCCAAAAAATAAATCATAATATTCTGCATTTCCTTCCGAAATCTCTAAAAGGTTTGTTCGTATCATTGTTGGGCGATAATTAAGCACGTTCACAGAAACATTCGTAAATCTGACAAGCCAAGGCTCTATCGCATCCACGTCTATTTATCCAAAAAATAACGCTCTGCATGTTCCACGTTTCGATAATGTCCTTTCAAAATCTTCTAAAAGATTTCTTCGTGAATCTGACAAGCCAAGGCTCTATCGCATCCACGTCTACATTTATCCAAAAAATAAATCATAAATACTCTGCATTTCTTTCCGAAATCTTTAAAAAATTTGTTCGTGTCACTGTTGGGCGATAATTAAGCACGCTCACAGAAGCATTCGTGAATCTGACAAGCCAAGGCTCTATCGCATTACATTTATCCAAAAAATAAATAACGCTCTGAATTTTCGATAATTTCCTTTCAAAATCTTCTAAAAGATTTCTTCGTGTCATTGTTGACCGATTAATTAAGCACGCGTAGCCATCGACCGGGATTCCAATTTGACGACCAAGCCAAGGCATCCTCGGACCTTCCTCTGATCAAACCTGGAAATCGCGTTTCCTCCGATCGATCGCCGGTTGAATCCTCTCAACGCCAATCCTCAACGTCGAGGCTCCCGTTTCGACGTCCCTCCGTGTCCATCTCCGTTCCAAGTCTCGAGCGTGGCCGGTAGCAGTCCCGAGTAACGCGTCTACTCGCGTAGCATATTATTAGCAAGCATCCCCGATCGACCCTGTAGGCTACCGTGCACCGCCATCCGTCTCCTTTCCCCTCCTTTCCCCTCCTTCTTCCGAACGTCGACCAAGTCGTTTCGAGTCGAAGAAATAGATAAATAGATAAACGGGCAGGTAGACTCGGATCTAAGAAGAGCGACGAGGGGGCAGGGACGCGGTGGACACGGGGAGTGGGAAGAGAGGGGAGGGGAAGGGAGAAGCGTTTAACGCGTAGGTGCCACGAAGAGGCCGATTCCGGCCGTCCTGTGCACACGTGCAACTGGAAGCACGGCTTCGGTTGCCGGGTTCAAGAGGCGGAGGGAGCGAGGAGTGGGAGGGGGGAGCGAGAGGCAGAGAGGTTTATTGTTGATCGCTAATTATCTTAGCCGGCAATTACGTACAATTATCCGACACGCAGTCCGCGGTGGTGCCCGTGCGGCGTTTCGCGATATTGCGCGTGCACGCACCAAGTTTTCTCTCGCCGGTGTGCGCGCGTCGTGCGTGTCTGCGCTGCCCGTGGAGAGCGCTGCTCGCAGAGGGGGGGAGAGAGAAACCGGTGTACCCGACAGCGTGACGCCGACCGTAGATGCTCTTTCTCCTTTTTTCTCGCCTCTCCCTCTTCCTCCGCCTTTCGTTCGGCTTCCCCGATCCTTCCCCCTCCCTTTCCTCTCCGTTCTCCGCGCAAAGCGTGCCTCCTCGCCGTCTCTTTATCTCTCCTTCCGTCTCGCTNCTCTCTCTCTCTCTCTCTCCCCCTCCCTTTCTCTCTGTCTATCCAGAGATCGCGCGCTCGCATCACGGGATCATTCGCTGCGAGGTTGTGCAGCGGCCGCTATCACAGCTCGATCTGCTCGCGGGCTTTATCTCGAAACGCTTGGTACCAACGGTAGCGAAGGTAGCTGTCGATCGAGAATCTTCGATCATCGAGAGATCCGTCGGAATGACGGAACTAAGAGAGAGGGGAAGGAAAGTGGTTTCGATACTTCGTATAATATGTATATATATATATAAGTATCGTTGCTTTCGATTGTTTCGTTGAAACGATGGATAGATCAATCATCTCTTTTGCGAGCTTGTCGTCTATCGTTATATCCGCGACGATGAGTCGTTGTTTCCTCGTTCCCTCGTTCACTCGCAACTCTTGCGCAAAATTTGCCGTTTCACCGTTTATTCCCTCCCTCCTCCGTGTAATACAGTTGATATTAAGCGTTTCCAGATTTCTCGCTTCTCTCTCGAACGAAAGTCGAGACGTTTCTCGATATCAATCACTTTCGTCATCCTCCACGACGCTCTCGAACGAATCACATACACGCGGGGCATCGGTCCCTCTTCCTTTCGTCTTCCTTCCCTCCGTCCTTTCTTTCGCAAAAATCTTCTTCCTTGTTCGCGGCTCCTGCCGCGACAACTTCGCCTCGCATCAACGTTTTTCGCGCTTCTCTCCCCTCGCGGCCGGCAACGCTCCATCGATCCTGGCCGCTCGATTAGCTTTCTTCGACCGGAGGAATCATTATGATCGGCTGGGTTTCGTCGCGGCGGCGTGACGTATCGAGAGGCGCGTGACGACTCGGCGTAACGGTACCTCGCCGATCGTCACGTATACGCGTATACGCTCCTCGATTGTCTTTCCTTTCGAGGAGCGCTGCCTCTTCCCTTCCCAGAAGGGTGCGAAGTTGGAAGGGCGCGAAAGGGAGTTCATCGGGTGAGTGTTTTCGAAACGGCTTGCTTCAAACGGATACAAACGAAACGAAATATTGGCGAATTGTTGTGGTCCAAGGGAGGAGGAATCGAAGGGGAAGTTTGTCCTTATTTTCCGCGGTGGGAACCGTGCACACCAACTGTCGAACTCGGGATGTTTCGTTTGATTTATTAACGAGTTAACTCGCTTTAGTATTCGGAGCAGAGTTATCGAGTTACGATGCACGGTTGAGGAAGCGGACAATTACGTGACATAGGATACGACGTGATGGGTTTTCGTGATCGATCCGCTTCTTCGATTCGGTAATGCGTTCGGTAAACGGGCTAATGGCGATCCCGCCTCTTGCAAACGTTTTCTTGATCTTTCGATTCTTCGACTCGCGGTAAGGGTAAGAGTGGGACGATGTAGGCGGATTGGCAATTTTGCCATCGAAAGAAGACGTTGTATTGGATCGATGGGAGATGTAAACGAGAGCGTGTTTACGATTACTCGTGCTTCTACCTCGTAGCATTCCTCTCGCGTAATTACAAAGATACAAATTTTTATCGTCGATCGAAAATATCGTGCGATGCAATTCCCGGGTAAAAAGATAGCATTCCACTTTGCATTATCACGAAGGAACTTTAAAACATCGCATCCGATCCAAAAATTTTCCACTCGAGTATTCTCTTAAGTACCATCGCGATCGAGCCACTCTTAATATCGCACGATAATGCGCACGGATCGAATCCGTGCCTCGAAAGCATACGAATCGTCTTCGTACCGCGGTCCAACGATTCGGCATCATCAAGTTGGAACTTCTCGATGGCTTTACGAGGTTCATTATCCTAATGCAGTGGCCCGGTGGAAACAGGATTTCACGATGCACCGGTAAACCGAGGGTCAACGATGCACGGGGATAATCCTCGATGCAATCCACTTTGGCTGCCATTGCAGCCAGGGGTTCGGGACTTGGACAGTTTCGAGAAATAAAGTACGTGTCGGGCGAAGAAAAGAGCGAAACTTCCATCGAAACTCTCTAATGAGATACTCGAACGCGAGCGTTTTCAGACGTCGGAAATGCAAAGTGACTTCGATTCCTTTTCGAATGTTCGCGCGATGTGGATTTTCTTTTTTTGTTCGTTATACTCGTTGCTCGAGATGAGAGGAAACTTCTATAGAAATTTTCTGTGGGGGGAATGGAAAGTAAACGGTATGGAGGTGATCCAGTCGAGAAGAGTGGAAGAATGGATACGAGGATATGGGAGGAGGATTGAAGAGGGTGGATGCTTTTGGAAAGTCCAATGATGCGTTCGAGGAGTGGTTCGCCATTATGGTCACTGGTGGATGTTAAAAGGTGGTTTTGGCGGTTGAAAACGGTTCCCTCCCGTGGAATACGGCCGAGCGAATCCCGCGCTCGGTGTACGATTTCCAGGGTAAACAGAGGAGAGAAGAAACAGACGGAGAAAAAGGAGGAGGTGCGAGGAAAGATATACAGAAAGAAACATGGACGTTTGTATAAACATCGTTTACGATCGCTAAAGGAAAGGAAAGGAAAGAAATGCGGGAAAGGGAAGCGAATATTCGAGTTCGATTTAAAATTATGAACATGCAATAAGCACTTGAATTTATTATTCGCGATTAGTTATTATTTATCGCCATTATAATTTTTTAACTTACGTATCGAAGAAGAAAAATTGTAAGAAAAGATTTCTTTCACAAGAATAAGATTTACAGGATATTTTTAAAAAAAAAAAAGAAAAGAGGATCTAATTTTATTCTTGCGAATATACGAATCGAATTCGAGATGAAAAGATGCGCGCCTCTCGAATTACGCATATATACGAATATCCTCTTTTCCTCCATCCCTGTCCATCAACGTCCCGCGTGCAACCAACCAAGTCATCCCCCCATATGTTTCTCTCCGTTCCATCGCACACAAGCGTTACAAAGAAACGCAGAGAAACGGAGAGGCGAAGTAGGATGAGCCGGCGCCACCGAGCTAATTACCGCCTCTGTTTTGTAACCTAAGCGGCTCAGGGCGTATACCTGTGCATCGTATCCTCGACTTACCGTGCGTTCGCCATAACCGAAGGGCATAAGCGGCAGCCACGATCCGCGCCATTGTATTCCATACGCTCGATCCTCCTCCTCCTCCTCCTCCTCCAGCCTCTTCCCCCAGCCTCTGCTTTCTACTACGTGGATCGTGTTCGCAGGAAATCGCGAAATGGATCCTATTTCGCGCAACCCGAAGGGCACGGAAGTCTCCTCGTCTCAAGGTGGTGGAACATGGACGCCGAGTTTGCTCTGGTCCTCGATTCCGTTGTTTCCAGGGAGAAATCCTTCTCTTCCTCCTTCTCCTCCTCCTCCCTTTTCTCGCGTTTCCCTCCTGCGAGCGAGGGAATTCGAGCGGGGAACCTACCCGTTTTGGAACGTTGGATTTCGTAGGGGATTTCGTTACGGTTATATATCTTGAGTGGAAAGGATCGTTTCAGAGTTTGATTTTTTTTTTATATGGGTATATAGGTAAAGTGGATATATTCGTTTGGAACCAACGATCGGGAATGCAGATACGATTGAATTCGAGTCGATTGCGAATAAAGCAAGTCTGTAACGAGCATGACGAGATCAATTTTCCTCGGTTCATTACGGTGGAGGAAGGGGAGTATCGAGGAGCGATCGGTGGAAAGAACGGAACGACGCGATATCTAGGAAGAGAGGGGGAAAGAAAAGAAAAGGAAAAGAAAAAGAAGAAAGTGTCCCCGATCTTTTGAACAGCTTCGTAGGTTCTAGAGGGTTAATTGTTACGAGTAATGTCGCGGTCGTTAGGTGATATTTTTTTCTCCTTATTGCGGGATCATAATTGAGGCTCCAGAGAAAGAGAAAAAGAAAGAGAGAGAGAGAGAATTCATTGTAGAGAGAACACTCGAGGAATTCCCTCCTACCTGCTTCCTATTTCCCGACCTTCGAAAAAGAAAGGTCGAGCACCGGGAATCGATAGTGCTTTTTTCGCAACAAATTGGTGAAATTTCGCGTTTCCTCCCTCTCTCCTTTCTTCTTTATTTCCCTTCGGTTCCGCGCACTTTCGTGTTCCGACACCGCCACTCGAACCTCTCTCCCGACCGAGAGAAATAAAAATGAGGGAAGGGGGAGGGGGGATGGGCACGAGGGATAGGAACGATAGGGCGATGGAGCGTGCACACGATTCAAAAGGTCCGTGATTTTCGGCGCGATCTCGTATTTCGCGGTTCGCCCTGGTTAATGATCCATGGCCCCAAGGACTCGGCTGAGTGTGGCTGAGGAGGTCCTTGTTCCTTCGAGGCCCGGGTCCTTCGAGTTCGCCTCGAC